CTTCGCTTCAATCCGCAAACCTCGCTGCGTCGACACCGCAGAACCAGCCGGCTTCGCTTTCGACGGGCCAGGAGGGCCGGGAGCAGATCGCTGAGATGGTCAAGGAGGGTCGCCAAGCGAGAAGACGAAGACACGTGAGTCCGGGCAATTTAATCTGTTCAATCAAGGTTTGTGTTTGTGATTTGTTTGTGATTTGTTTCATTTTTCAAGTGAGAGAACAACATCAACCCACATCAACCCGACCAATCACCCGGCCACCGTGCTCACCTACCTCACCTCTCACTGGCCCCCCGCCGCCGTTGCGGTGTTTAGGAGAGTGACGCAGACCGCTCGGGGTCCATCGAATTCCAGGCGTGATCGAGCGCTGCGCCCAGCGCCAGAAGTGGCATGAACGATATATGTTAGTGTAACATGAAGATACAGAAAGTGATTTCATCCATAGCACACTTCATGCTTGTCAGGGCTGGATCGCACAGTTCTTTTTTTTTGCTTTCAGCTTGCTCAAATTCTCTTATTGGTCCTTGTGACGCCACGACAAAACTGTAGACTGTATTCTCCGCCACCGTTTTGCCACCGCCACCGTTTGGTGCTCTCGAAACACTTCTCGGCTGCACCGGTGCTGCAGGAGTTCCTTTTGCTCATGCGCCTGGTGAGCAACCGCTGCAGCCGAGAGAAGTTGGTCCGAAGAGCTCAGTGGGTGAGACGCATCGGGCATGCTTTTCGGGACACGTGAAGCGGGGCGACCAGTCTATACCCGGAGGGTGTGGGTCAACAGCAGCATGGAGGCATGAATGGGAGTACGAAGCTGGTAAGGAGATTCCTAGGCGACCTGAATCAGCGGGTACAGAGAGATTTCTAATACAGACACAGGCTTTAACTTTAATTAGCCATGCTCTTGGATGTCATGACTATTATACTTACTACTAATTGGTCTATTTGGACGGTGGGGTGCTAAACGGGCTTTGTTGTTTTTACTGTTCACTTGCCGTTGATCAGCATTCTTCAAAGACAATCCTCCTCCATTTGGTTGTGGCTATTTTAGTTTGGTGAAATACCCGACCCCGTGGGAAATTGAGGGAGTCAGATGCAAGACTTTCCCAGACTCCATCCACATCTTGATGTGAGCTATGTTTCTTCGACCGCTCGCCTCCAAGGCCAAAGAACGTGCAGCGGCGACTCAGCAATTGGATTATACTGGTTTACTGGCGTTGGTCTTGTTTTTTTGCAATGTGATTGGTGTATATTGGTGTGAATCTAGATGTCACCAAGCACCAGTATTTTTGTTGGGTTGGGACATCCTTTGCATCATATCATAATACATATACAAACGTCAACCATGGGCGGCTACACTCCAAAACGACCATAAGCTGGGGGAGGGGCAGTGGAGGGGGGGGAGTGCGCCAGGAGTTTGCTCCCGCCAACATCCTGGAAAATTGAACATTACAGGCATCTTAAAGCAAGAACAACATATTGCAAAATGTCAGTTGGGTTTGGCAGAAAACACAAAAAATAAGTTATATAAACAATTCTGCATGTTTCATCTTTGGATAGTTTGACTGCCAAAGTTGTCAAAGTCTAAAGAGCCGACCAACCGACCAGCTCCACCCAACACTCGTCAACCATTAATATCAACCCACAAATCCCAGATCCACGGCTTTTTCACCAGTTGCCCAACCTATTCTCCCCCCCCGGTCACCCCCCTTAGGCCCTATCCTTATCTCTAGCTAACCATAACTAACCCAAAATCGCGAATTTCCTCCGTCACCGAGTCGGTCTTAGGTGGCAGACACTCGCTTCAGCGTCCGCGAGCTCCGAGAGTTCCGCAAGGTCTTCCGCAGCTTCGCCAGGCCGACGCCTGAAACGAGCTCGTTGACTTGTGTTCTCTATGTGTTTGGGTGACACCACACGGAAGACTGGATTTGCACTGTTTAAATAAAGACGTAGATTAGGTGTTGATGGGATATGGTGGGATTGGGGATATTTGGGGATTACGGATTTTTAGTTGATGAAATAGCGTCCATGACTCGTTGGATCGTTTTCCTCATGAACCAAGAGGATTGGTTTGTGGAGCGCTGCAGCACGGCTCCTATATGCTGTTTGTGCAAGAGCAGAACATGCAGCATCAGCACAGAGATTTCCTTTGTTTGCTGTGGGCCGGGCCCTAAAACTGATTTTCATGGCACTGTACTGCAAACTCAATCTTATCAAAAAAGGATAAATTTGCATCGGCTTCAAAGTATCCAAACAATTGCAGCATGTTTGTTCAACTTCTTGTTTGCTCATCAGGAGAGAAGCACGGGATAGCACGGGTACAGGTCAAAATGTTCGGATGTCTTCAGCTGATGGTGTTTTAGCATGTTTTAGCCCACCCTCGTTAACTAGAGTAGAGTTCTTCTTACCAAGACGAAGGATGAACTTTGTTGCTCAAAAAACAAACGGCAGGGGCATGGGCACGTGGAAGTCTCATCAAACAATGGTCCAGCGGATGACCCACTCCTGGCATTTGAGAATCACAACAGTTTATGTCTTTCCGCTATGGACCAGCAAGCAAGTAGGTTGAGGATTCGATATTTGTTGCCGACCAGTTGGGAAAGCCTTCGATGAACCTCTGTTCCCATGTGCTTGGAGGTGATGCTCCACCAAAGAAGTACACCACTTAGTTCAGCTGACCACATTCAGTTGCTGACACCGGAATTGGGAGGGACCATCGACTGCGCCAGGGACCCCAGGGGTGACATGCACTTCGATGAGCTGCAAGAGATGATGGGCACCATCACGCGTGCGGCTACGGGTGCGCGTGGCAGTCAAGAGTGACCTGGAGAAAGAGGTCGTGGTTGGATTTCGCGCAGGATTCCACTGACTTCGTCGCGGCGGCGAATTCTTCTCATGGTTTTCCATCGGGCAAAGCTTTCGGTCCGTCGGCGGTCGGTGTCGGTTCGGCACACGATCCGTTTCTTTTTTTTGCGCAGGGCAAAGTCCAATAAGTCCAATATGCCCGGTTGACAACGAAAGTAGCATGAAAAGATTTATAGATGTTATAGAATGTCAGCTCCGAGGATGGACATAGTTGTGCCAGTGATCCTTTGTTTGTTGGGCGTTGTTTTGTTCCCTTTTGTCCGGTTTCTCACGCTAATAGCGTTCTTCAATTGATATGGGTCATGGCAGTCTCTCTCCGTCAACTTCCATTAGCTGAAAAGGATCAACTTGACCTTGTGTGATCCTCTTTGACGATATTTCTGTTGTTCTAATTAGTAAGTAAACAAGCTCAAGGCTGTACATTGCAGAGGGACTCTGCACGTCATGAAATGAGCCCCTAATCGTTGAAATCCAATCATGTTTGCCATTTCAATCGAAGCCTCCAAAGGCTTTTCCTCCCCTCTTCTCATGCGCCTTCTCCAAGGTTGCTGGACATCGTTCGCAGGCGCCTTCCAAGGGCAAGCGTCATCGAGCGTCATCGGGACGTGGACGCAGAAGAATACAATATAAGTGATAATGGCATGGATTATAGCTATACATAGCTATACCGACCGTATAAATACGAGTTATACATAGTTATTTAACCCTCTAATGTAGACTCTTGATTAACAAAACCCCCGCAATGAAGAGGTGTTGCAATCCAACTGGGGGGTTAATCATCAAGAGTCTACAGAACTGAGTAAAGCCAGTATAGCAGATCCAAGAAACGAAGAGAGCAGACGAAACAGACCACTTTCCCCTTCGAATCGCCTGTGGAATTTGCTCGGTGGGATGTCCCAGTTTGACACAGTACTCTAAAAAGGACTAAAAAGGTCACTGCAAATGGCTAAGGGTCAGGTCGAGGGAAGAATGAAGTCTTCCCCCCCAGCCAAACGCAACAAATGCAATTACATGCCAAGCCAAGTGGTCCTAGTGCATCGCCGACCTTGGTGTTCGACAGATTCAGATCCCTTTTGACGTTGAAAACTTGAAAGCAAATCACGTTGAACATGAAAAGGGTCTGAAGTACCTCCTGGGGATGTGCTTTTGGTTGAAAGTACCTCCGGGGTCGGATGGTCTTTTGGATCAATGTATACCCGGTAGGTTTACTGGGAGTATGACAGAACAGCTACGTGGTGTTTGGTTAATGGATTCGCGTGGCTGGACTAGAGACCTGGAATTGACACTCAGAAAAAGATAGAAGAAGACAGCATACCCCAAAAAATGTGAGTCAGGAACAAATACCCATCAAATACCCGCTCTCCTTCAAATCCGGTAGTACTTCACGTCCACAGAGATCCAAATTGTTTATGATTTGGTTTTCGACCTTGCGGAATTTGCCTGTGACCCGCTGACGACGAGCGCCATGTGAGGTACGCCGGCAGCGACGATGCCTTGGACTTTCCACAGTTCCTCCACGTGATGTGAGGGATCCCAATCCGAGAGAGCATGGCATGGTGCAGTGACCAGTCTTCAGAAAGAAGTCTTCGGAAATCTCGCTGAACTGGAGAAATGAGAAATGACATGTAGCAGTAGCAGCCTGGAAAAACACTTTAGGACCCCTACATGAGTCCTGCTGGAGGGAATCGGGATGAATACACCAGGGTTGACTACCTTTTGGGAGATAGAGAATAGATGAGAATAGAGACTAGTCAACCCTGGTGTACTCATTTGCTGCAAGAAGGACAGCATGTTGGAAAGAAACTGCCACAGGATGAGAGACTCAGTGGTAGTTCCGTGCAAAAGCAGTCGGTCGGCTTCATCCTTACTTGCTCTTGCGTTTCACTCCGACGGTCCTTAAAACCGATGAAGCACATGCCATCGTAGGACCTCGTGTGTAAACCATGTACATCCACTTTTGGCAGAAGCTCCTTACCATTTGAAGTCTTGCAATGTAAACAGAAACAGCGCACTTGCAGGAAAGAACGTAAAGGAAAAACTCCTTTGTGTCATCCTGCCAAAGGCGTGATTTGGTGGAGAAGAACTGGGGGAACATCAACATTTTGACGCAACGCGGCAGCACTAGTCTTTGGAGTCGGTAGGCTTTGGATTTGTGGGGAATCAGTATGTCCTGCTTTCATCGGGTTACAAGGATGGGTCATGGCTTAAGTGTCTAAAGTCCAAGACCGATGGTTTGGAAACCGCATGTTGAGCCAATGTTTAACAATAAAGCAGTAGGATGAGTCTACAGTCTGAGGGTGGCATGGTCTCAGGGTCCACGCGCATGTCAACCCATTGAAATGGATCTGATGTTCATTGGGTCGAGGTCTTTTGCTAACCGCGACGATGTTACACGATATCCCATGAGAAGTCTCAGAGTGCATTTGGGCTCAACGGGCTGCACCTCAATTGCAGCTTGAATTTATGGAGGTCACGGCTCTTTCAGGATCCACGACCATCAAGCTTGATGAGGAGGAGTTGAATGAGATGGTGGTGAGTGGAAAATGCGTGAGAGAATTGAAAACACTCCTCGCAACTCGAGTTGGATACTCGAGGTTTCGACAGCGGCTCTTCGCGGATGATATGGGTGAGTTGCGGGATGAGATGCTTCTAAGTCGACTGCCAAGCGTTCAGTTGATCATCCTGGACCTTCATGATGCTGATGATGCCATGGTGGAGCAACTGTTTTGTGCATGTGAGCAGGGCAGACTGACTGAAGTTGAGCAACTCCTACAGAAGCCATTGAACCCCAACCTCAGACATCCCGAAAGGGAATTTGAGGGACAAGTCCACGATTTGTTGAATGGTGAAAACGAATTCGGGGACTGGGACACGGCCTTGACTGCTGCAGCTGAACATGGCCACTTGGAAGTGGTGTGCTTGTTGCTCGAGGCTGGAGCTGACAAGAATGCGGCAGGTGAATTTTTTGGGGGAACCGCCTTGAGGGCTGCAGCTACGCGTGGCCACTTGGAAGTGGTGCGCTTGCTGCTCAGGGCCGGAGCTGACAAGAATGCCGCAACCACTGATAGGGAAAAAGCCTTGATGGGTGCAGCTGAGCATGGCCATTTGGACGTGGTGCGCTTGTTGCTCGAGGCCGGCGCTGATGGGGCAACCGCCTTGATCAATGCAGCTTTCAATGGTCAGTTGGAAGCGGTGCGCTTGTTGCTAGAGGCTGGAGCTGCCAAGAATGCCGCAAACACCAATGGGGAAACAGCCTTGATGGCTGCAGCTGAGCACGACCACTTGGAAGTGGTGCGCTTGTTGCTCAAGGCCGGAGCTGACAAGAATGCCGCAACCACTGATGGGGAAACAGCCTTGATGCGCGCAGCTCACAATGGCCACTTGGAAGTGGTGCGCTTGTTGCTAGAGGCTGGAGCTGGCAAGAATGCCGCAAACACCAATGGGGAAACAGCCTTGATAGGCGCAGCTAAACATGGCCACTTGATAGTGGCGCGCTTGTTGCTCCAGGCCGGAGCTGACAAGAATGCCGCAGCCACTGATGGGGAAACAGCTCTTATCTTGGCAGCCGCGGAAGATGTAACAGTGTTCACTCTTGCAGATCTGAATGGCCCCTTGGAGACTGCACAATTTCGGCAGTCCTAGTGCGCAACCACCAGGCCCAAAGTGGCCGCCTTCAGTCAGCGAGGGTGTCGGAGAAAACGGTCACCTTCAGACATACGCAGCGAAAGAAACTTGTGCACCTTGGATTTTGTTTGTTCTGGGATTATGAACTCGTGGTCTGGGTTCTGGGGCTTTGCTGCTATTTTGTGCTGCGCCGTTGCGCCACCATGAACTTGTTGCTCCCCTCCTGCCCTATTCGTGATTGTGAAGCCACACCGCCCAGGGCGCCAGCACCGCCACCGCCACCGCCACCGGTGGAGCCGGAACCAGAGGAGCCAGAGGCACTGATCCCGATGGATCCCACGGCTGAGTAGGGCTGGGAACAGGCTGGCTCAGCCCAAAAAGATGACTTCAACAAAGGGGTAAAGTCGTTTTTTCTTGGGGGGGCGAAGTGTGTTTTGTATTGAGCAAGTCATTGTCAAAATCCGGAAACCGTTTCACTCTTTCACTTGTGTTTTTGAAATGTAATTCTTTTTGAGCCGCAGCCACAGCTGTGAGGTTTTGTGGCCTTGCGACCATCCCCAAAGGGGGATGGAACTCGAGGCCTCCCTGCAAGTGTTCGTGTGTAGCTAAATACTCAGTGTGTTGGACCCGTTCGTAGGTGCCAAAGACTTGGATGTGCTGCACCCAACAACCCATCATCACAATCTGGATGGCCGAGCGGCCCAGTTTCAAGTTACTCTCATTGGGACTTCACATGGCTGCAGTCACAACCGTAGTCACATATAACATATAACCAATGGTACTCCTGCTGATGGTCTCAAGACTACCAAAGCATGGGTCCTGATGAGATCATCCTGTTGGCAAAAATCGGGTCGGTAGAATGGAATGCAAAAGGCTGTACAGCCCAAAGCTTGTCCTTTTCTACTCCTGATTACAATCGAACACCTGCAGGGGGTTGTTGATAATGCAACGCTTTTGAACGGCCACCAGCGCTGCCCGAATGGACAGCCAGGCTGAGTATGGACTTACAGCGCTCCATTAGTGGAAAGTGCTGTGAAAGTGAGAGCATGACTTTGCTATAGAAATGGCATGCGGGAGAATCCTCAGGTTTGATGTCGATATGCATACGGATGATATCGTTTGAGGCAAGGTTAGCGTGATTTATGATATGTATGACAAGGATCAAACCAATGGCTAATGCTCACACCCCGAGTCCGATCACAGTTTTGTTTGTTAGGTGAATCTTGTGCCCATTTGCTATGACTCTGGGTGGAGTTCGAATTCAATGTCGTTTTGACCGTCTCTTCAAAGCCTCGATCTTTTTGGTCTTTTCAACCTCCGTGGAGGTAGATCTTTCGCAACAGGTTGGGTCATTGGTTCTCTCTTGGCTCGATTTGTGAAGACCGATCCAATGATCCACAAAACACAAAACGAGTTCCAATACTCGAAGTTGTGAAAGGCATTGCCATCCCCTCTACAAGATCCACAAACGATTTTCAACTGCAGGGCTAAGAGGTCTTCACTTGACCGACCACTTTAGCAAACCTGGTTTGCTGCTGCAAACAGCTGCTCCAAAGGGCTGAAATTGAGGTTGCGAAGCGACGTTTGGAAGTGACGTTTGAAAGCTCGACATGGTCCCTGAAATGTCTTGTTCCATTATTTTTAACCATAGATTTGCAGCAAACTTGAGGCATTGACCTGGATCCATATTAGACCGCCTACTCACCCCAGGTCAAGCATATTCTTCAGACTCAAAAGCTTGATCAACCGATCCATTCGCAATTGAAAGGCGCTGCTGAGCCCAAAACCTGCCTTCAGCAGGGTTGAGTCACCGCAAGCTTTCTCAAGCAGCTAAAAGAAAGTGTTGTTTTCCAGCACTTGTTCAAAGTAGCAGAATGGCAAGGCAAGTGGACAAAACACACTATTTATTCACATCTGAATCTAGTCACTATGCATGAAAGACAGCTTCACAACGAACATAATTCATGGAGCTACTGTCGCAGAGTGCAGATCCATCAGCCCTGGGGCCCTCCACCTTTGGTCACCAGACCTTCACTGAGACGAACGGAACTCGCCATGGCCAAGCAGAGCCTTCCGGATGCCTTGGAGCTGGGATTTGTAGCCACTTGACAGATGTTTGGATGGGGCCCTGAAAGGGAGGATGGATGGGTTGCATCGGCTTGGATACAGGATACAGACGGTTTGGATGGTTTGGCTTTGGGAAATGCAAAGATCAGAGTATGACAGTATGACTGGTTAAAATGTTGGCTACTTGTTTTTGAGATATCACGTGGACATAGTCATAGTCGTTCTCTACTAGTCTTAAATAGTCTTAAATCCATTTTGAAGGCTCAGCTTAGGTGGGTTTGAAGGATTTCAGCCAAAGCTGACATTTCCTGCTTGAAGTTGCGGTAAGAAAGATGCTTTCCCGCAGGATGATGCTTTACAAGCTCTTCCAGAGCTAAAACCTGCATTTGTTGAGTTTTGCGCATAGAACAACATGCGATTTGTCAGTGTCGTGGTGATCTATTTTAGGTTTCAAAAGAAGCCTATAGCTCAACTAAGGAGTTTCACGGAGAGAACTGAAGCACTGCAGGTAGGTGTTACAAAACCTGATTGCGCCCAGTATTGCATCATGCTGTAAAATCTATCAATAATTACTGAATATTACTGATATAAATCTCGTGCAGGTCCATGCAGAAACCTTGGAGTTAGCCAAAGCCTCGACCAGCATGTTCATCGAGGTTGATTTTTAACAAACAGTTGCACATCCACTAATCCTTTTGAACTCTTTTTGGTCCAAACTTACACAAGAAGATCAGGCATGGAGTGAAAGTTCTCTTTTCCGGGGAGGTGTAGCTGTGGATTTGTCCATATTCAAGTCCGCAATTGGTCAGCAAGTGTGCTCCTATTGGCCATCGATCGAGCGACCCCCTTCTGTGGAACCTGGCCGTTTTTTGCAATGTCGCGCTCCCGTCTGAGTATGGAGGGGGGGTTCGGGGGGGTTATTTGCGTCCATGATATCTTCTGAAACTCTCAAACCATTTGAGAAGTCGCCATGGAGCTTTGGGAACAATGTGGAGTCTCTAGAAGAGCCGCTTTTTGAGTTTATGGAGTGGAGACATATATTGAAAATTGGTCTATTGTGTTGGCAAAGACCATATGGACCTGTGTTTATGTATTGAAAACTGGGGAATCCAGAGACTTGGCATTTCTGCCGCACAAATATGAGGCCCTGAAGCCACGGGTCAGTGATGGAATGGCCGAGCTCGTGCTGCAGGTGCCAACATTCACACAGCTGGGGATAGAAGGTGTCCGTTGAGTTGACAACCAAAAGCACCTGCCAAAGACTAGTTGTCTAGTCAGTGAATCCAATGATTCTAGTGTAACCTCCAGGGTTTTATGTGGTTTTGTTCTTGTTACAGTGTATCCACCGACATGACCCATACCATTGCTTGAGGAGGCATTTGGTTATGAATGGTTACGATCACCAATAGATTTCAATCATGACTGAAGGTAATTATTGTAAGGTCGTTTGCCCCCAAGGCAGGCACGGTGGTCGATTGAACTCAATGTGGGTATTTTGTGCAGTTTCCTAGTCTGAGGCAAGCCTCCGTTTTGGTGTGCCTTCAATCAGTTCGACAGAAGCTTTTCCTTCAATAGTATGTGAATTAATTGCACACAGCCCGATTGCACATTGCCAAGTTCTACAGTAGATCTACATGTTTGAAATCGTGAGGGAGGTGGGACAAAATGCATCCAAGAAGGCAACAGTATATTATCCTTTCCTGAACATTGTCCCAAACAGACAGGCCATCTATTTATGCCTACCAGGGGCGAAAGTGTCAAGAAGCACCCGGGGCGTCCGGACGCACTTGGTTTCGAGGACGCGTATTCGGCAGGACACGCATACGGCAGGACGCACGTTTGGGCAGGTCTTATTTTTTTTGTTGATACCTAGTAGTAAGGCCAGGAGCCCCTAGTAGCGTCCTTGCTCCTAGTAGTAAGGCCAGGAGCCCCTAGTAGCTTCTTGTTTCTAGTAGTAGATTGGACTAGCTGAATTGCTGATTTGCCTGGACGGTTCCTGCCAGATAACCTGGACAACGCGTTTCTTTGGAATGCGTTTCTTCATGTCGTCCACCAGCCAGCTGATACATAATGAAGCCGCATGCAGCCAGTAATGAACAGCCCAGATGCCACAAACCTCGGCCCTATAGTAACATATACCATCAGGAGTACCATCAAGGGTTTGTGCTCAACTATGTGGTACAAGAATGTTTGATGTCAATAGTCCATATTGGTTCTGCTGTCACTTTGGGTGAAACTGCTTGGCTCTCCTACCTCTTCCTTGCTCCTCCCTCTTCCCGGCTTATTGACTTCCTGAGTACGGATTCCATCTAGTTAAGGAAGAAACGTCTTTGAAGTGCTTTACATGCACTTGATCCTTCAAGCTTGACATGTACAAGGCTTATCCCCAACCAGGCATGGCGGATCATGGCGGCCACCAAGACAAGTGCTTCTGCAAAACTCACCATCATCTGAGTTGCCTAGTTCTTGTTGTGCTTATGTGCAAGCCGGAACTGAGTGACCATCCGGACAATGCGCCCAGTCCTGGCACCCAGGCGGCAGACAATCCCTTCACCGAGGAAGGTGTCACTCAGATGACGGACCGATGGGACCGCAGCGATCGCGGTCGGGTTGACAAGAACCTGCAGCAGATACTGGAGCAGTCTTCCCTATAAGTCCTCTAAGTGGTGTTTTTAGGAGGCAGAAGGGGTGGTTGGCCAAGAATGGTTTGGAGATCTGACTGTCCTCAATGTCCTCCATATCCTTTTCTTGGTGCTCACCACGAATATAAACCAAAGGCCCTGACCACACCCTCATAAAGACATGATACCGGTTCGTCTCAAAGAGAGGTGTTTGTTTTGCACTGATGAATCATGTCTGGCTCCATGCAGGTATTGAGGTAATAGAGATGCCGATGGGTTTTTATCCCATGGTCCAGTACCAACCCAGGTGATTGTCACCTGTTCACTCTTCTTTTCACCTCTCGCACTCCGACACCTCGAGAAATCCATTTCTAGGACCTTTTGTCATGATATGTCATGATAGTACCTTGTTCCTCGAAAATTGAGCAGATGCAGTAGCAGTCTGGGACTGCAAATAAGATCTAAAAAGAAGTGGATTTCTTTGAAGGTTCCTCACATAAAGTTGCATACTTGACCATGGAGGCACTCTTCAGAGATTTCCCTTGATGGTGACCCAACTGCTACTTTACCACTTGCTGCTACCAAATGGTGTCAATTCGCAGCAGGACTACATCGATGTCTTTCTGGAATACAAGATGGTCAAGAAGGGTTTCTCCATTGTGTATGTGCTTCGACGGCATAGATGGAGGAGGCGGACTGGGGCCTGGGGTCAATAGACGGGTGCCCAGAATCCTGCTGCCTTTCAACACATCATCCAGATATGCTGCGTATCGTCTCAAATTGTGGGTACAGTTCCGAGTGGTGACTGACCATACTGCTTGCATGAACTGTTTGGAGCCTCCATTATGACACAAACCAATATATACCAATATGATTTGGGTTTCTTTTGGGAAGACGGGACTAGGTACTTCCTGATTCAGACTGATTAATCAAGTACACATCAACAAACATTGCTTGGACTTTAACAAATGCCCCTGCAAAAGCTTTATATAAATAATTCTAAAACATTAAATACACATATACACATACATAATATTGTGTTTTTTTTTTTTTCCGCTGACCGCTGACACATTGATTGGCATTCAGGATGTAGGACCAATCAATGCCCCCAAAAGTGTTAATCGAACATCGATGTGGCCTCCAGCAGCGAGATCATGATCACCCACCAATTTTCTGTTCGAAGGTCTAAGTGTTGTCAATCATGTTCGCAGTTTGGAACCCTAATGGCCTCCAACCTACTAGCGATGCCCTTTGTTACTAGTAGCCTCTTGTTACTAGTAGTAGGGCCAGGAGCCCCTAGTAGCATCCCTGTTCCTAGTATAGCGATGCCCTTTGTTAGAAGAGATATCTCAATAAAGACATCCTGGTGTGTGGTGCTTAGACTCGTCCAACGTTGGACTACTGACCATCCAACTCACCGTTGGACTCCTCAGGACTTGCGGCTCCTGAGGGTCCCCTCCCTGACCTTGGTGAAGCAACTGGCCACTTGGCGAACGCCCTAATTCCGTCGAAGTGGATCTGTTGTTCGCTTCTCTTTCCGCAACAAGTGGAGTACGGAGCACTTTGGCGGCTTCCTCGAGCCCCAACCGAACTGCCATTCACGCACTGCGGGTGAACGGTCCAAACGCCGGGACGTCGCAGTCCAAACGTCGCCGACGTCGCCTCCAGGCTGATTGGGGTCGGGATCCAGTGCGACAACAGACCTTCCAGCGATTGAACCGCACCTGCAAAGTGGTGGTGTCGGAGGCAACGACAAGGGTTGGGCATTGTGGATGATGGGCAGCATCAGAGAGATGCGAGGTTTACTGAAATGTGGGAGGAAGTTTTGTTGACAGACATGGGTTGATCCAGCAAAATGTGTTCATTTTTGTGTATTTGGCACTGTTCAATTATCAGGGTTTCTCTCTCCCCCTCTCTAGTTTGAGTGCCACCCGCATTTGACATGCTGGAGTTACTTGTTGGAGCCTTGGTGACCAGCGATAGAGCTGCCCCATATGGATCGACTGATTGCACGGATCACCGAGTCCATGGTCTCACCGAATGTCCGACACGGTGCGATCAGAAGCTACACGGTGCGACGGTGTATCCAATGCTGGATGATCCAAGTTCGAGTGCAATCTTTCAGTTGTACTTGACAGACCAGTCTGACAATTGAATTTGGATAATTCATCCACCCTCACACTGTCAACCCTAGCAAGTGCTTTCTCGCTCCAAGTGGTTGGTCTTGAAAGACCGGTTTGATTGCACCTTCTGCCCGGTGCTGCCCAGGGTTGGCGCATGGGGGTGGCGAAACGCATCCTGCGAGCGCCACTTGTTCGCAGCCACGGGAGAGGGTTCGGCGGTTCGGAGAGGGTATTGAGGGTATTTTGGAATGGGTCTATATTTTGGAACTCCCTGGTGGTTTCAGATATTTTTATGTTCAACAACCTCTACTTGAAAATTGCCCCAAGGTAGATGAGCGAGCCATGGGTAGTAGGTGTCTTTTTCACGCATGGATAGAACAAGGTGCTCCCACGAAAGTTAAACATGGTGTTCGCGAATGATTAAGATTCGCGAAAGTAATATTACTTTGGCGAAGAATGGCGTTTTAGTAAGAATGAATGTTTGATCAACCACCAAATGATTGAACCCAACTGACCAAAATTTTCAAGTGAGTTGAACCACCAGCCAGCATAAGACAATTGGCTTGTGGGTGGATCATTCATTTTACACCCATTTGGGTTTCACTATGTTCCTAACACAGTACTACTACAAACGTACTACTACAAACCGGTCATGAACTTGGATTCCATGTGCTCGTGGATTCGGGTGCAAGTCACAGGACCGGACTCAAAGATGTTTGTCGGATCGCACCTGGGATACCCAGACACAGGGATTGTCGGACCACAGATCTGGGATTTTTGGAGTGTTTTGCCGGACGGGGTCTTTGAATTTGCAGGGATCGCATAGGAGGGGATGGTTGAGTTTTGCAGTTCTTTTAAAGGAGAGCTCGTGCTGCTAGGCCACGCTGCTTACTTTACGATGGAACAGATTGCAGAAGAGAAGCGAAAGCCGCTGAAGTGGAGAAACACATCACAATGAACAGATCGTTTGAACCCCTATGTTCCCAATGCCTTGTATGTGTGGGATCCCATTTTCTAGACATTGGGGTTACTCCGGCTACTTTGCATTCTTCCTTTTCCATTGGGGTTTGGCACTTTGCGACTGCATCGAAGCATGCGGTGCTCAGGTTCTTTACCATGTGCCCTCCGGTCTGTGTGGACACCCAGAGTGTCGCTTTGAGGGTGCGCTCGTCATCTTTTTCAAATAGATCACATGGTCTCGAGTCTCCATGCAGTTTTCACATGGATACAATGGTCTCGCAAAGTGGTTTTATAGCTTTTGTATTGATGTTGGAGGGATTCAGGGATTCTTGGTAGTACACCAACCACCGGGATTCTTGAGAGGACAGGCAGCACCCTCGCTTGAGTTGCTGGCTTTGTTCGAGAAAGACTCCTACGTTGGGTTGAGGGGAGAAATGCATCCAAATATCAGAAGACATCAGCAGACCACGGGCGGGTTTGTACCCACGACAATCAGGGGATCACTAGAAAGCTATACTGGCAATGAACGCTATATGGGTGTGTATTGAATACGGATGTGTTTTTCTTTCGACCCCCGCGAAGAGAAGACATGGATGAGGCCACAAGCTATTCAAGGCAGGTATTCGCATGCTCTCACTGCATCTTCTGCGTGAAGTTGGCGCAGCAACGCACTTGACATTGACTAGCCTGACACGCAACTACCCGCCAAATTGGCAACTCTTCCTGTGCCACAACAGGAATGCCCCCTGTTCTATGGGGTGTATTCATCACGAGCTGCAGCCCCAATGGGTTGACTCATGCGCAAACCTCCATGACACGCGGTTGTTCTCCGTAACATGCTGGCACTCTGACAAACAAGCGAGAACTTAGGCGACACGTATTTGTTGACAGCCTCTTGGCCAAAGCATTAAAGTCTGGATTCTTCGGGTGAGGTGGGTGTGTGACCTGGAGGCAAAGTGCCACATGATCACAAGTAATGAACATCGTCAAAGGGATTTCCTAGAAGATTGAGGTTGGTGAGTTCCTGTCCGGAATTACGTGGGGTTACAGTTCTGCAATCCTGTCACAATGCAGTTTCCTTTAAGTTGAAATCTACTGACCGACCTTGGTCAAGATGTACCAAGCATTAACAAAGCTGGCCTTTTCATTGCTTTTGACATCTTCTATATTTAGTCTAATGGACAGACGTTGGGATGCCATGGATTCGGAGTGACAGGAGTCCAAGCAATGATAGGCTCCTGCTCGGTGCCGTTTTGTGCCAATATTGCGGTAGGCCATCGTTGAGATCTTCCGCATTGATCCAGTTCCAATCACATCTCAACCAAGAACCTGGTACAACCAGGTAATCACTCATTTCCTGTGCAAAGCTGTGCAATGGAACAATATGGAATAAAGTCTGACGACATTTCCCGTATGTACTGGGTTGGCACTTTGATGTGGATGTGTGCCATAGACAAAGAGGACGCCACTCTGTGCAATCGCACATGATCAAAGATTGAGCAGTGAATTACTATATATTGGATCATATAGGATCAGTGTGGTGAACGGAACCTAACAAGTGTCCCCAAAAGATCCAGTGGTAATGTAAGCAAAATTAACGCAGCTGACAACCCCAATAGAGCATCCACCAAGATTTGGCGCAATCTTTCTGCATGCTTTGTTCGTTGTTCTTTCACAGTACATATTATATATCGAGGGCGATTTATATCTAAATCCCAAACGCTGAAGGTGCCACCACTGGAATGCTGCTTCGAACACACTGGAACATTCCTCATTCTTTTTCAACCACTCCAGGCCTAACAGCTCGGGACGTTCCTGCTGCATTTGCCCTCGGGGCGGAGGGGGCGGAAACTCCTTGAGGCTCAAAGCTTCTGGCTACACCGGAGTGGAGTGGGGGCATTGCGCGGGATCGGATTCAGAACGGATGGGCCTGACAGATGCAGCAATGATGGACCTGGGAAGTTTGGGCTGAGTATGAGTGAGTGCAGACAACTTTGCTCATGCCTTTACCTCCAGCAAGGCCACACAGACTTCAGGTGGTGTTGCATCATCAGAGGCCTAATGCCTAGATGATGTGGGGAGTCCTATCCGGCGTACGCCCAGGCCAGTGCATTCCGGCTCACTGTGGGGAGTCCAGAGCTCCACAGGTGCTCCAGTGTGAGTCGGCCGTTGACCTTGACCTGCACATAGCACTCGTACCCGGACCTTGGCCAACGACCAGGCCCGAGCAATCGGGCTCCGATCGGCGGCTTCCAGTCCGTTCGGTCGGAGCTGGCCGATGCCAGACTCCAAGTTCAGCAAAAGACGGGCTTTCCATTGTGCCATGAACATATCCATGATCCATGTCCCCAAACGCCCTTTTTGTCAAACTATTTTGTAAACACCATTCTTGTAAATTTGCAATGTAGCAGCTCTCCCTCCTTTGAAGCCCTGGTCAGGGGAACCTGGGGAATGAACAGCTGTCAATATTTTCAAGGAAACCAGATCAAAACGATGGTGTCAAATCCTCAAACCATTCAGTCATATTGCAAGAAGGTGGACTGCCTCAGGCTGGTTCCACTCACACCAGTACAACCATTGTTTCCAAGCCCACCAAAGGATGCTTGAACATTTTATAACATTTTCAAAGCACAAATGAAATACCATCCAATGGTTTTTGCACAAAGATACACAAAAACAGTTAATATCCAAACAAACATGTATGTTCCATAGACCACAAGGCCACAAATAACTTAAGGGATATCCGCCGGTCGCCGAATTGTGTGTTCAAGTGAATTGCATGGTGTATACGTCTGAGGGCCCCCGGCCTGGTCCCGGTGTCTCGGTCATGTTTTGGTGGTGTCTCGGCCATGTTTGCCCGCTGCCTCGGTCCCGGTCATCATGTTTTAGTTGCCCCTCCCGCTCATGTTTTGGCGGTATTTGCGTCATGTTCTGGCGGTGCCTCGGTCATGTTTGGGCGGTGTCTCCATCATGTTTTAGTGGTGTACTGGTTGTGTTTTGCTCCGTCATGTATGTTTTTGGCGTTGCCTCGCTCATGTCTGGGCAGTGCCTTGATCAGGAAATCTAATGATTAAATTGCTTTAGTTTTCCCAAAGAGTGCGAGAAGCAACCACCTACCTAAGCAGAACGTGCATTTATTCGCCAACTCGCCAACTAAGTTTTTTTCAATCGCACAACAAAGGGTTGCTCTTCTCAAACAATGCAGTCTGTTCATGTCGAAGTATGTCTCTATACGCACGCGCAATAAGATGTTTAAGCGCCAGCAGGCAATGTGCACCAGGTGAACAAACATGCAATCACACAGTTCATACAATCACAAAGACTGAGACCGAGGCAATGCGGCAACATAAGAGAGACACCACCAAAGCAGAAAAAGGACCAAAACACCACCAAATCATAACCAACACACCATCCAAATGCGCATCTTCCATGGTGCCAAATACTGAAAACTATGTGCACTTTAGCAACTGCATTCACTGCACCTGTCGTTTGTCAACAACGCGTGCGTGTTTTGAAATACATAGTCTTTTCTAGTGTCTTATTTTTGTAGTGGCGTGTTTGTCCTGTTGTTCCCTACGATATCCATTGAAACGTCTCGTTCCTCGTCTATGCGGAAATTGTGTGTACCCATTTCAAAACACCTATGGCCTGGTGATTAGAAGGCTTAGAACAATTTTTTGAGATATTTATTCTCCGCTGGCAGCCGGCGCTTGAATTCTTTTGGTTAAATTTCTGTTCTTCTCTACTTCTAATTATGCGACGCAGGGCCCGTTCCGCAAGCGAGCCTTCAAGGGCAACATGTTGCTTTTGGTTTGTCGTGAGTATGTTTCTCCAATGCAAAAAGGGCGTGTTTGCTTGAGCATGAGTTTCGGCCATCAGCAAACACTCCCTAATAGTTTTGTGGTCTATGGAAATTAGATTCTGTTTGGGTAGTGAACTCTTTTGTGCAACTGGTTGTCTAAATTGTGCGATTCGCCTTTCAACATGATTGATGTCGGTGATAATTAATTGTCGGCGTGTAAAATTCCTTGCTTGACACTATGTTTTTGTAATGTTTGTGCGCAAGTCTTGCGTACATTCATTGTTTCGATGTATGCTTTCTGTTTACTGTTGTAGAACCTCATCTTTGCTTTTACTATTCGCTCGCTTTGCGTGCTTTTGTATAAACTATGTGTTTGCGTGTCCGAATCTGTATCTTCCCTGCTGCCATTACTTCAACTATAAAGTGCGCGTGCGTCCTTCAATGCATTTTACCCTTTGGTCACCCTGTAGTATTCTCCTGTCATTTGTATGAACTGATATCCTTAGCACCCTTTGTCCGAATAGAAGTGTGACTAGATGAGTGCCTCTTGTACATAATGCTTGCGTGTCCAAACGTATATTGTCCCGAATCGTCCCGTATTTCTGGCAACTGCATTGTACCTTTCGTTTGTAGATTGCGCGGTCGTCCTTCACTGCGTTTTCTGTCTTGTTTGGTGATCATATGTTGTTGTCGTTTGTATTTTGTTTGTCCGAATAGAACTTGCACGCGTTTGTAAAGATATATACATTTTTCCTTGGCGCGAACCTTTTGTTGTGCTGTATTTATTGAAAGGGGCCGTGGATCCGGCGCCCAGCCGCCTAAAGAGTGTACAACGCCGCTATCACTATTGGGGAAACAATTGTTCACAGATGCTCAGGGTATCGTTATACTTGCAAGATATATAATCTGGGTCAAACATCCGTCAAGACCATTCATACCAGCACACATGGCACGTGACGTGCTCCACGTGATAGCCCCTAGTTAGGCGATTGACCAGCCAGCCTCAGAAGGAATGTCCCCGGCTCAGGGCGGTGCGATTCTGATGTGTCCCGAAGTTTGAGAACCAAACACTTAGCTGATTTGGTTTGCCTGGCTGCTTCTTTTCCAAGTATCAACATCATTTGTTGTTTGGGATTTGGGAGTCCTTCCTTTGGTGACTTGGTGGTGACTGTTTATTTTGGACCATTGCCGTCTTTGATGATGGTGATGTGATAGTGTGATAGTGTGTATATTATTGTTGACAAAAATGTTGATCCTGACATCAAATGGGTATCGCCATCGCGCATGGGGCGAGCACAACAACTCCAGGAAGAGGACACAAACGTTCGGCACCACGGACCCTTTGTGCCTTGTGGAAGTCATTGATTTAATCTCAAACATGCTGAAAAGTACAAAGGGTTTTCCACGGTGACTCTTACAGACAGTTTGTCCTCAGGACCTGACAGGTCGAACAAAGCTAGAGAAAGTCAATGTCCAAGAGTTTGTTCAATAATGTTCAATGGGGATATGGGTTTTAGTTTCATGACTTGTCGGATCAATGATCACATCAGATTCGCAGGTCTCGATGCTTGCTATCCATGTCATTTTGGATCAGGAGAAGTTGGCTGCTTCCGATCCCCTAGGCCCCAGACACAATTCAACGGGAACATGAAAAAGGCACATGTAGGGCATGAAGACGTTTTCAGTTGGCAGCCCCGGAGCCTGTCATAGGCGAACACCAGAAGAGTTATATAGATGTTGACAGTTGTTTGTTTGTTTTCCGATATTTTTTTATTTGCAGGATGCTCAACTTCTGCTTTGGGGCACGCTGGCTCCCAATTCTGGACGTTGGAACAGTGGCTGAGGTATTTTGCGCCACCGCAAGAAGCTGTGCGTGCTGCAGGTGGGCAGCAGGGGAATGAGAAGGATTCGGGTAGTGTTTTTCCGTTTTATTCGATGCCCAACCCTATCGGGCTCCAACTCCTTAACCCCGCCCAGGTGCCTTCTCAGAAGGTGGTTTGATAACATGCGAAGCTGGTGTGAAAAGATATTCCATGCCAAACCTACTTAAGGACCCGCTCGGCAACACCAAAGGGCGCAGGCTTTAGAGGTTTATATGGAAATAACTTGATCACAGACTCTCGGGGCGGTGTTTCGTCAAGAACCAGGAATACAGAGGTCATTGAAGATCCAGCTGTCTTGAAACAATGCGCATGCCGTGCATGTGGCAGTCTCCCGGCAGGTGTGAATGAAGATGAACATGAAGATGAAGGCCACAATTTGCCGAGGGCCGCGAGAGGGCCACAATCCAAGTTTCATGGTCGCCCTGGCCTGTGAGTAGATGCGAAAATGGTGTTTCTTTAGATGATGCGACAAAGAGGAGAGTTGGCCTATTTGTTCCTTGACTGTGTTGGCGTGTAACATATATATTCTTGAGAAGAAAGCAGTTGAGTTTCATCGTTTTCTTTTTGTTCCTCGCCCACTTCTTCGTATTTTGATTTGTGTGGTCTTTCGTATCTAACCTCCAGCATCTACAACAACTGGAGGCGGCAAAAATTATTCGGTAGGTAGTTTGAACAGGCCAGGCTCAGAGGCAAAAGACGCAAACAACGGGGAATTGTTCGCTCAAGGGATCTATGATTATTTGTGCTGCCAGAAGCAGTATAGAATATTACAATATTGATTGAAGTACCAAGGCAACTACCAGCGTCTATGTTCAGTGGAAGATACTTGGAACGGGCCATCAAGGGGATTCATCAAATCATACGAAATTGATTGGGGGGATTTAAGATGGATTGTGGGGTCGATCTTTTTCACATCATTTGCGGGCACTGGCCACTAGACTCCAGGTCCTTTTGAACCGAACAAAGATCTCTTGGTCACACATCATCCCGAAAACCAGACATCACATGTCATGACATCACCAACACATTGGACTCATTTGGACCCAGACATGATGTCTTTTCCACAAGACCTGGAGACTTTGGCCGGATTACCGTTCCTTCTCTATGACATTCACCACCCTCACGGCATGCGCCAAACCAGCGAGGCAACGGCCTTGAGAAAGCTCCTGCGCCACGGTCTTATTGGCTGCAGTTGGGATCTGAGAAACTCGGCCGCTTGAAACGGCAGAACAGGCATGGAACAGGCTGAAGCACTGAAGGACCCTGTTCCGTTGCAGAGTTCGACGCCTTCAGGAGAACAAGAAGGTCGGTAGGGTGGTCGAAGCGACAGACTTTGGCTTCAGCAATGAAGCAAGGAAGAGATTGAATCCTAAATCAACCACACCCTGTTGAAGAATACACGTCGTAGTATAGCCAGCAATCCAAAGAGAGTAACGTAGCATGAGATGTGTATATCGGGACCACAGGCTGTATCGGATCCTTCAACAGATGGATACGGATTGTTAGCCCGACTCCTTGTCATGTCATCATGTGCTGTTGTTGCTGCTGTTGTTGTTGTTGTTGTCGTCGTCTTCTCATGTTCTTGGAGTGGCCTCTCCGACTGAAAGCTGCCGAGGTCGGCGATTGACTTTTTGGGTCAGCCCAGCGGTCCGCACTTGGTCCATGCAGCAAATTACTGCGACGTGGTCGGCAAAAGAGAAAGACATGATTGCACTGGGTAGCACTGCTACTAGCACTTCTTGTTCAGTTTAAACTTTAAGCAGTTCAAACTCCTTGAGGTTGTAGTTGGGTCAAAGGTGGTGGTGTGAAAGTTGCGTACAAAACAACACACAGCACCTTTGAGTTGGCCGGTCACGAGGGAAAGTTGAATTGTCTCGTTGACTGCGATGGCCTGCTCCGAGAATATCCAAGACAATTTCCACGACATGTGCTGCTCCCATGCATGATTTTTTTAAGCGGGTGTCGACGAGGCTGCAGGGGGAGAGAGAGAGAGAGAGAGAGAGAGAGAGAGAAAGATTCTGCACGGGGAGGAGAATTGTGTCTGAAAATGACCATGACTCGAGGATCAAACAAGGCATAGGATCGAGGCAACCAACAAGCCAATGGATCTAGGCAACTACAGATGTTTGCTTTCATTGAAGCAGGGGGACTACAGCAGGTGAGGGTATTATTGTGTTATATTGTCAAATTGTGTTTAATTGTTTTTATATGGAAAAGACCACTATGATATGCCCATCTCTTGTGCGCCAACACTTCCCACAGGTCGCCAAAAAGGTCATGCCGTGGAGCGCAAAGTGGCATATTATAAAGGATGCCCCGATTTGCGTGTGTAGACAGGATCTCCAACTCAGACTAAAGATGGGTCGGCAGTCAACGAACGAACACCTCATATCACCCTTGGCGCCCGGTTCATCATTGTTCTTAATTATATTGATCAATTGTCATTGACATTCATTGACTACATTTCACGACTGCTTTCCCCTCACGAAATCTGAGCGGCGCTGAGGTCCATCTTTTGGAGGGCCACATGCCTGAGAGCTGAGGGTTCCTGGCGCTTCACGGGTTTCCGAACCGAAGGGTCCAGACACGAACCAATGGAAGGGTGCACAGAACAATGCTTCAACCTACCGGTTGGAAGGTCCCCGCACTTCTTTGTTGAACATGAAAACGACAACACTTGCATGGAGTTTCTTTGTTTTCATGGCATCTCATAGGGTTCAGGAGTTCCAAGCCAGCAGACTTGATGTGGCGCGTTTGGTGGCGCCTTTGGCAGATAGTGAAGCCTATATTATATGATTCTACATGTGTTCATGCTGGATCTGTGGATGGTGGATGGGTGGTGGAACTAGCACTAGAAGTTTCACTGTTTGTGCAATACTCCTCCACAAGTGACGTTGCTTTTGGAAGAAATCCTGCACTAGACCAGCTGAAATGTCTACTTATCCAGGTGCTTTGCGAGACTTGGTATAGAGTCAATTTGATCGAGTTTTCTGGAACCGAACGTGGCCCTCCAATAAAGTTATTGTAGCTGTTTGGCCCTTCTTCGGTTTTCCCACAATCGTCGAACAGTTTTGACCATACGGCTTCGTCTCAGCAAGTGCTTGCTGAGTTGCAGCCATACAGCTTCGTCTCACAATGTGGATGAAACAATCAATGAGGTTTTTGGTTCCACACAGCCGGTGATATATATTATATAGTCCGTGAGACAAGGCCATTTTGGGCGACATAAGGTTGCCAGGAGAGACTCCTCTCCTAAAGGGAATAGGGTCTCCTTTGCACGCTTTTTTCTTGTTAGCAGCCATCCCTACTACAAGCATCGTCATGCAGAACCTGTCGATGTTTATCTTTGCTGAAGCCTGAAGCAACTTAATTACAACTGAATTGGGTGCACGCGGGGGTGCCCAAGGCGCCCACATGCCTGTCCGATTGATTTATGGACAATCCAATGCGCGCCGTCCTGCATGCGCACAGTTTGGGACTTGCTGACTTGCCCTTACGCCTGTCCACACAGGATACCAAATCCTTAGTTTCCAATTACTTCACACAACCGGACAGATGCATCAGATACTGACTGCTCTGATCGAATGGTTCTTTACGATGCATAAATTGTTCAACTCCATTCTGGATGCTGGATCTTGTCGTGGAGTACAATTCAATCGTTTAATCAGTGGAATATGGTTTGGGTGCTTGCTTTTCTATCTTTGGTTGGCTTTAGCAGAACAAGAACCTAGGCACAATGAACTCCACGCAACCAATACAGTATCACAAGAGATGCCACAGACCACGATTGAGCCACTAACTCAATGCATATCAGGATTTGTCGTGCCATATGTGCCTAAATAGTATATCCAGGTATATAGTGTCTTGGCTGGTGGGGTTCCCTGCGGGATTTGTTGGGTTTTGTTAGTGGTTTGCAATTCTGCCCGTGCGACCTAGGTTCTGTTTGGTTTCTTTGGACTTGGCAAGTGGATTGCTTGCTGTTTGATCTTGTTCTTCCCCGCCCGCCCACACCTTTAAGGGCGACATGGTGTCAGCTCTGAGGATTCATTTGTCAGCCTTGATTGAGCTGTTTGTCTTGTTTGTCTCATCCCTCTGGGAGACGCGCCCGTCACACGATGGGTGCGACAGACATCGCCTTCGGTGACCGAGACGGGCGAAGGATCGAAGGATCGACGGCCGCCCATTTGGCTTGAGAAATCCGCAGCACTCCACGTGATTCGGAAGGCGAGGCAGGACGGAGCTGAGACCAGGACTCACGTGTTTCTTCGTCGAGAAGCTCCCAGTTTTGAAGATGAATGAGCGGTTGATGTTGGCGAAGAGATCAAGTTCGGTTCAGGGATTCTGGATTCTTGCTCCAAATGCAAGGGTTGTGTTAAAGTATATTAATATATATATATATAAGTATACATAACTACATATCAAAACCATGTGAACCACAGCTTCTTCTGCAGATGTGTTGAGCTTGCTCAATTCACGGTTTGGAATTAGGTTTTGCGTTTAGCTGGTGGCGTGCTGCAAAGACATGGTACAAGATTTGTACAGACGATTGAGATAGAACATATAATGATAGAATCATCATGTCACTGAGTCTGAACTTGTGGATCAGCAGGATGACGTTTGCCAGGGGCTGGCATTAAAGGGGTCAAGTTTGGGGGATGTTCAGCATCTTTGCTGGGACCTTTGCCTTTGTCCTGTCCGATACGGAGCTAATGCATACATGAGAAAACAAAGGACCATGAATCCTTTGCAAGTGTTCCAACAAGCCACTCACTTCAGGGTCTAAGTGCCAACTTGTGATCTGACGACCTGCAGTTGCAGGCTTCCAACATGAGGTACACTTCTGACCTCGTACGGGCAAACACGTCAGATGAATTGGACCCTCATCTAAACTAAACTGGTCAACCTAGACCGTCAGACCTAGTTTGGTTGTTCTTTGGGTTGTTATGGATCTGAATCTAGACTGGCCAGACGGCGCTTGTGCTATCGACTGAAACCACTGTAAACTGAAAATGAAGACATGACAACTCCCTGCAGGCGCCTGCAGCCATGTCGCTGCTTCCCGGGCAGGCAAGGCTTTCTTAGCTGGTCTCTGTTCGGATTGGCTTAGCCGGCTTAGCCTGTAGATTCTGGTCTTTTTTTGTGGTATCCGATATCAATGAGTGGGAGTTTGCATGAGTTTGGTGTGGAAACTGCCATGGAATTGCACCCCAGGCGGTTTTTCAAATCAAGCCCTCTTCCGCCAAAGAAGGTGGTTTTAAACACTCAAACTCAACTGCACCCAAAGCCCAAACGACTATAGCCTTCTGGCCGCCACTTGATTCCAATTCCAATTCCTTTCACCTCACCCATCCAAACCCCAAACAATAAACTACTAGGATCCCGGTTTTCCGAGGCGCCCACCAAGCGGTTGAGACTCGATGAATCAATGGCGCCCTCCGGCTATGCCGGTGGCATCGGCTCGGGAAGCCCGGATCGGAGAGATGACCAGGATCAGAGGGTGTTCGGGACGAATCATGTCCATTTGTTCCAAGAAATCATCCAAAAAGCTTGGCTTAGAGACGGTTAAGTACGGTTCTTCTGCCAGCCTGTCAAAGAACGGTAGAAGTACCGGTACAAGCGTTGAAAGCGGCGTTCGGACCATCGAGTTACTACTAAACGCCCTCAGATCGACGAGTCGATCCGTGGGGAAAGCACCTGGGGAGTCGTGTCGCTTGGTGGAGGATTGGGGATTTGATTGATCATTGCACCATATTTGCTCTCAATGTCTAACTTCTGGGAACTTCAAACTTGTAGATGATTCTTGGCCTACCAGGTTCAGGATGCCTCTCATGCCTCTCAAGCCTTTGCAATTCGCTTCTTCTGGGCTTTCTGACCAGAAGACGATCAGGTCGTGGTGCGAAGATTCCGATGCAGACCCGAGCAGACATGGGGATGCACGTGGGGGTCGCCCAGTTAGTCCGGCAGGGGGAGGTTGTGCAGACCGTTGGTATATGGCAGTGGGCGTTCATCTGGGAACGCCATGACTGCTAACGTTAAAGCCTGCTACTGTAGATGCAAAAGGCATCAAAACACGAAAGCAAGAACCAATTGCTGGAAGAAGCTGCATATGTTTTTCACGAATATCGGCGGCGTTGGAGGTGTTGGCTTCTCGGATGGCAGCACTGGGTCATTGAAAATGCATAAGGATCAAGAAACAGCTACTCCGGGTGAAGGAGACCAAACCTTCAACATTGTGTGTGTGTGTTGTTGTTGTTTCTGTTTGTGTTTGTTTTGTGCAGATGAAGCTGTTCTTGACACTGGACCACGCAGCATAACTGCCACCATGCAGCATTCATCGTGTCCCGACTTGCTGGCACCGCTGCCCAGACCGCAGTGCCCACCAAGCGCGGAACCGATGCCATGTTCGGAAATGCGCCTCCAGGGCACGGGGGCCCAGTGGGCCCGGACCTGTGTGACGGTCGGGTCTTGAAGGCGATCACTGCTTCGAAGAAAAGGGATGATGTTGACACATGTTGATCATCCTAAGACGGTCCTAAGTTGATTGAAAGGAGACCGTTTTGAGGTCAGAGAAGTTTGAGGACATGTCCTTGCATGGAGTTTGTACCATGCGCATGTGCAGGTTTAATCTTGGCAGTCTTGAATGATTGCAGCACTGTCATCAGTGGGCTTCCCTGGACATAATCCAGTGTGCACCACAATGCATCCAAAAAGTCCAGGAGAATCAGTGATGTACTCGGTCTTCGCATTTTTTGAGACGATTGATCAACAAGCTCTATGGGAAGATCAAGTGAAATCGATCGGTCAACGACGCAGTGCTCACCAAGCCTCTCGCCTGGCTAGATCTTGTTCCAAGGGGTGACACTTCCGGTCCTTGCCTACACATATGACCTCAAAGATTCATTCAGGAAAACACAAAGGACACACAACTGATTATATCCATTCAATTGAAAGCGACATCATGAGGGTTTAAGGTTACAAATAGTTCTCGTTAAGAGCCTTAAGAGTTCTCCCTTATACAAAGAGGACCTTCACTTTGGTTTAGAAACAGCTCCAGGTCTAGTTCCAGTCTATGTAGGTCTGTGATCTTCAGGTCTGTAGGTCCCTTGTTGTTTTGCTAGAACGCTCCAGGTCTGAGACAGGTCAAACGTAGACCGTTCGCAGGTACGTCCCAGGTCGAGGACGTGGCGCCACCGGTTTCATTGGCGGCGTGAGTCGAGACGAGGCACAGGGCGTAACGACATCGCTGGGTGGCGGAAAAAATGTAAAGATGTGGAAATATATGGAAATGGACCATGGAAACTAGGGTTCCTGAATCTATAGACTTTAGATGAGCTTGTTTTTGGAGCTAAGGCAAGTTTTGGAAGAGTGATTTCAGCAAGGACTGTTTGCTTGTTTCGTTTGGTCTCAAGCAAGTCTATAGGAATCTACAAATTAAACTTAGCATTTATATGATTTCGGGATATGTTTCGGAAAGAAGCCAATTTTGGCATTTTCTATGTCATGAGGCAACGGACGCAGAGTGGTGTACATGGAGGTTGCCATCATTGAGATCAACCCTACCTCGAATCAACATCCCTGACGCCACCCCCCAGACATGTGTCCTAGAAGATCAAACATTGTCAAACCCTTTGCTCAAGACCACTTTTGGCTCAAAAATCGCGACGGTGTTTATTTGGGCTGAGATCAGGCTGAGATCACCAAGGACAATGGACGTGGTGATGAAGGAGATCCATCATACATGGAGTACAACAGAGCGCTGATAATAAGTTCCTCTCCACAAGTTAACGACATGATAGGGCCAAAGCAGTTTGGGGAGGGAAATCTCGAATTTCTGTGGGCACTACCCTCTCAACAAGACCTGTAGAATTCCATGTCATTCCTTCTGAAAATCTGACATGTCCTTCAAATATCCCCCAAACTGGACATTTTGTGGAAGATTTCGATGAAGACTTCTAATCTTGGCAACCTGCACTCTTGACGAAGATATGTTGCACCACCTCAATCTCCTCGTCCGGCCCATCAAAGCAGCTCACAGGTGGATCGAGATGACGACAAAGCAGATTTGGGAGACTCCAACTACGATGAGTTCAGCGGATACTCTGGGCCTGGCCGTTCAGCGGATACTCTGTCACCAACAAAGACCAGAGCCTCCCCCAAACGAACCCCTTTTTCATTTTTTTGTCGCTGGCCTTGGTTGCGCTTTCCATACATCACATGTGGTGAGAATAGGAGATCACCAAACCGACAGATAGTTCAACCAGGCCTACAGGGGTCAACAAAGAGCTTATTGGAGTGCAGAATATGTGTTTGAGCCAGTGATTGCCTTGTTTGCTTTGGAGTGTTTTTGAGGTCATGAATTAGATTGTTTTCGCGGCAGTTGGGAGGTTGCCTTGGGAAGTCGTGGGGCCATCTCATTTAGAGTTGGTGGTTGAAAGGAAGATGAGGACACCTTACAGGTAACATGTAGTAACTTGTCTTACTGGACTTCCTGGCAACGATATCACAATGATGTGTTAAGTCCGGAGACTTTTCAAGGTCGAGCATTCCGGCGTTCCTCGAGAAACATGCAATTGGTTCCGAAGGCATGTTTGGACTCCTTTCAGACGTTGACGGTTTGCAATTCTCCAATAGTAAGCATGTGAACAGAATCTAACTATAAAGGTGTATTTATACTGGGAAATCTCTCACCAACCGATGCCATTGTTGCAAGTTGCCATTGATTTGTTTTCGATAAGTCTTGAACAGCACCGGGCCAAACCTTGATCTACTGTCCAAAACTTAAACTCAGTTCTTGTCTTGGGAGACTTGCCTGGTTGGGTTTCTGGATTCACCTTTGGGCCGAGCGCTCACAGAGCACTCACAGAGGCATTGTTCCCTTTGTGCCGCGGCATTGTCAGAGGCACAGTTTTAAGCCACCGTGAAACAACAAAGCCTGTCCAGTGCACTTTCAAGAGACTTAAAGCTTTTGATGCCAGGACATTCCCCAACATAGCAGCGCAAGTTCTCCTTGGGCCAAGCCACATAGGGCCTGGATGTTTCTTTGCGTAGTAGGGTAGTTCCAATTTTGTCTCAACAAAAATTAGGGGCGCGAGAAAACATGCTTATGTGTGGCCCATCAGCCCATGGAAAGCTGACCCGTGCAGATCTCTCCCTACCATTTATCCCACACCATCCACTCACTCCCACCTGTTCCCAAGCAGAGTAGCCCCACCTTCAGCCACTCCTCGCTGCCTCGACCGGGCGCGCCATGGGCCTTCCGTCGGAGCGCCATGGGGAATGCGGGAACTCGCGACGCGGCCGCCCTGGGCCCTGGAAGCGGCCTGAGCTTCAGCCTCGACGGGACTGAGCTTCGGGCCTTGTGCGGAGGGTCGTTAAGATTGAAGCTTTTGGACCTGCTAACGGTGACAGCCGAGTAGCCGGCCAGGTGGATTTGGTCAAGACCCGACCAGTCAAAAAGGATTAGGAATAAACATGTGGCAGTTGTTTGTTCTCAGTTTATGACTACAGCCACATTTGCCTTGCAGTTGGGGGATACAGATACATGTGCCATTTCTTGGTGAACGCATCCACAGCGGCAGGACACCCTGTGTGGCGATGGTCACTGCGATTTGCAGAGTGTCCTGGCATCCGGGTTGTAGTGCAGTGACCAGGGAGGGTAGCAACCCACAGTTTGTGTGCTGTGGCTTGCACAGCTTGTGCTGAGGAGGAGGCAGATCCGTGGTATGGAGTGCCTCACTATTTGCGCAACTTGGCGTCGGCCTGTGTGAACTGAGGAGAGACGATGTCAAGACATGAGGTCGTTTGTGGAATGTTCTTGGAGGATTGATGTTCCTTCATCTCAAAGGATTCCAACACTGGCTTTCCCATATTTAGAGTTTCTCTCAGTGAGAAGCATCATCACGTTCCATGGTTTGGGGTCAGGGGCCATACTAAACTACCGAAGTACTTGGAGTTCTTGTCTTGGCCAGCAACACGCTCGGCCAACGGATGATGAGGCTACATCAATGAGAGTGGGCAATGTGCACGCGAATGGGTCTTCTTGGATGTGGGCAACAAGACCTTGACCATCAGGCGTGTTCTCACCTGTGAGAACGAAAGCCAGAGGTATACGGTAGAAACGACCCACCCCGTATCGTTTGCCCTTCTCGAGAAACGACATGTTTCTGTTTGTGATGAGACCCTAAGAAACTGTTCCTTTTCTCTGAGGCATTTCCTGCCTTCAGTTGGGTTCTAGGGTGCTTTAGTGAAACCTTCCAGATCGGTCAGCCCACCTGGACTGAATGAAGACACAGTTCTCAATATAGATCCGGTTCATTGACGTTTTTGACTCACTTGATTTGGCCATACATTTACAGTATCTGGAAGGACTCAAGATTTGAATACACAATGTAGCCGATATGTAACCAATGTAGCCAGCTCCACGGACCTGCAGCTTGTCTTGGCACTCACCATGCCTAGCAAAACAACTCAATGGCAAACAACACAGACTTTGTTTGAAGCAGTGTGCGCAGCTTCGTTTGTTCTGGCCAATATATTGATTGATCCCATTGATGATGGTTTGAGTTGATGTTGATATACGTACAATACACATATATATATATATACCAACACCCTCCAACAGGTCACCAATTGAGACCTCTTACTTGTAGGGTCTAACAACCCTCCAAAGCAGACCTGTTGGAGGGTGCTGGTATACATATGATATAAATCATGTAAATACATGAAAATACGATATGACTTACAGATCGGAGTCCAGTTGCAACTGCAGCAATCCAACCCTTGTTGTTTGGTTCCAAAGGTCATAATCTTAAACCAATTCAGACTGAACAATTGGCCTGCGAATGAATAATCTATTTGACCCACTTCAGAATGGTCTCGGGCGGCCACTCAACGCCACCAGCCGCTCTTCTCCAGGGGCACGCGTCGGCGTATCCCCTTCGAGTTGGCGCAGACGGGCCTTTGGTGTTGGGGCAGCCTAGCCGGTTCTCAGGGGAAGTCATCCAAGTGACACAACCTCCAAGCCGTTTGTCGAAGCCGAAGCATATTCCAAGCCGAGCTCACGAGTCGAGACACTTCGAAGGGGTCAGTGATGGCCAAGTACTTGGCGCTTCTTAGAGCGACCAGGCAGGAGTTGGCTTGAAACCGTTTAAATAAAGGGTTACGCGTCATCACGCGTTTCTAATAGCGTTTGAGTGTCTATAGCCGTCTCCTTGCCGCTTGCCCTTGGTGAAATAAGAAGCCAATCCAAACAGGCAGGACGAACTCTGGTGGCCCAGCTGAGGCCGGGATGTGTGCATTCCAACGATGGCATGGACGACCAAATTGACCCATGGCAGTGGTTGTGGTCGTCCGTGGTAGTGGTTATTTGTGTTGATTTGATCTTCTAGGCCTCTCAGGACAAAAGAACACATTTCTCAGGTTGAGTCTGAGATAAATGTGGTGGATGTTTCTCGGTTTCGTCGTAGAATTTAGAGGGGGGATGAGGGCCGAGGTCATGAGAGCAATGAGAGCGGCTCCTGTGGGGGTCAGGGGGCAGAGCTGGGAGGTTTCACAAAATTTGACTGTTGCACCGGAAATCACAAACCCATGCAATTCGGCAAACTGGTGTCATATTGTCAACCTTTATAACTATGAGCAAATCTGAATTATTCAGATTCAAGCACAGTCGACTCCGATGAGTTGTGCCGCTTTCCAAACAATGTTTGTAGTCGCAAGGATGGCAAATGAAGGAGGGCGAGCTCCTCGAGTGTAGTTTTTGTTGCCAGTCACTGTCCAAGAAGTTAGAGGTCATTTATGTCATACATGGTCCATGGCTCCTTTCTGATGTACGACCCGTCCGCCCAGTATGATGTTCCACGGCATGTGCGTTCCAGGTTGGAGCATGTGCGTTCATCCAGACGGCTTTGTGCCGCTGGCCTCAAGAGAGTGCAGGCTTTGGTGTCGTGCATGTCGCAGAATGTTGGAGATACAAGAGGCATCAAAAGGTCAAGGGCACAACTGGCACTCTTAGCCCAGGTCTTTTGCTGAGCGATTAGCTACCTAATGCCAGGCCATAATCTAACTAAGCCTTCAGACCAGTGTTCGTTTGACTGGACTTTTCCTGGGTAATGGACTCGACAACCCAAGGCCAACTGCTGCGTTTGGAGGAGTCACCTTGTCAAAACCCATGGCACTGAAGCTGCAACTGTCGATAGACAGCTTATGGGCTTGGTCCCAATTAACAGTTATTTAACTTAACCGTTTATTCAACAATATTCTAGTCGCGCATGCATTCGTTGCTGCATCTAAATACTTAATACGTGTTTTCAAACTGGAAAATGCACACGACTTCTCTTACACAATATGTGGGACATCATGAGACAAACAAAACGCCCGTGGAAGCCCGACGTTCAGAAGTTGGAGACACTCCAGCCAGAGCGTTTTTCCATTGTCATACAAAGTCATACTGCAATCCGACACACGAGACTCGGTCATTGGTCGACTGTTTTTCCCAGTGTTTAATTCCTGGGCCAACCTCCCAAATCTGTGACCAATGCCCAAGTCCTGCATGCTTTGTGGTGTTCTGTACACCCCGCCGAGGACTTTCTGGAGGCCGAGTGGCCCAACTTGGGACTGCCAAGGAACGCACAAATTCTGGCACCTCGGCGGACGGGGTAGTGAGCGCCGGAACGCGAGTCACGCGGTGGACACGACAAGTCGGCTCATGAGCTGCAAAGCCGGTGGGAAAAGGAGAACGAACAGGAATGATAAAACCATGTGAAACCCCGGCATTAAACCATTCGAGGCAAGTAGAGTTGGTTTCTCGTGGTTGGGTTCCAAGAATGTGGATGAGCTTGCGACATAGACACAAGAGCTCACTCAATGCCTGCAGAAACTGTGCATTTGAACGTCATCCAATGGTCCTTGTTGAACGCATGTTTGTCGAGAGTGAAATCGCTTTTGCCCTGGGGCATGTCAGTCCTTAGCCCACAGCAGCCCCAGAACACAAAAGGGGAGGGAATAGCCATGGCAGGCATGCGCAGGACAATCATCTTGACTGAAGTTAATCAGGATGACTGCGACAACCATCATTCAATGGCACTGGAGAGGCAGATAGTCATAGTATATGCATCTACCGTATATTCATACATATAGTAATATATATATATGCACACACATAAGTATTATATCAAAGATGTTTTTGTGAGCGCGAGGCGATGGAACCGACCAATCTACAAATTCACTGTTTCACAGGGAGATTTCAGGTAGCTTTGCCAGTATTTGGGAGCCTGTAAAAAGAATGGTCCATTCCATTCTTCATGGAAGCCCCTGACAAATCTTGTTCTTTGCTGTTTCTGAGGAGTTGGGCGCTCGTGACGGTTGGTTGGGCATGACGCTGGCACGCAACCTTGTGGCTGTCTCAGGCTACTTGGGCATTGGAGAGTCCGAATTCAGGAGGCTAAGCAGAAACTACTGGAAGATTGGAATATATATTAATGAATATGGCTGATTGACTGCGGAACTATGTCTAGCTTCTAACTTACTTTTAGCAGGAATGCCCCCTAGTGGCCTCCAAGAACGGATCAATAAACATCAGTTGAGCGTTTCCTACAAGGTCAACAAGTTTTTTTTTTTTTTTTAACACCTCCACCCCATTGACTTGTTTCTGGTGAGAGACACCTTCCCAAAACCAATCTATTCTGGGTGAAGGGGTCCAACTGTCCTTTTTCCAATGTCCAGGTCCTATGATTCAATCGTGGGTTGCGTTTGCTTTTTTGAGGGAGGGGAAATGGCAGACAAAGGCGATCTATAAGAGCATCGAAGGAGGTTAGTATTGCAGCGAGAAGCTGGACTGCGAAAGCTTGATCGCCGGCTTCTCAAGAGATTCTGAGGCGTTCAGTTATACTGGTGCTTGATGAGGGCTTTTGTCCCCGTCCGTTGTTATTTCTCATTATGTTTTTGATGACATCTCATCAACGCAACTGCTATACCATGTCTTGTTGGAATCCGAGGGTGCAATACGACACCTTGGGGACGGTCGTTCCGATCTTCCGATGTCGTTCCATCGTCCAGGCTTGCAGGGCAAAGCTCGACCATGGTTACCGAGCAAGAGGGCTACAGGATCAAGTGTTTTTGATGCAAAGAGGGGCAAGCTTCTTGTTACTAGTAGAAATGCCCTTGTTACTAGCTTCTTGTTACTAGTAGTAATGCCAGGAGCTACTAGTAGCGTCCTTGCTCCTAGTAGCGATGCCCTTTGTTACTAGTAGCTAAGATGGCAGATAAGAATTAGGTGACACCGTGACACCGTCGTTCTCGGTTCTCAGCCCCTGTGTTTGTGCCATTCCAAATCTATCCGTTATTGGGGCAGACAAAGAATTTGAAGGCTCATTTGTTTCCTTGGCTGTTACCGAAATGGACTCGAGTTGTTTCCTTGGTTGGGAGCTAATTTCTCTGCTGAAGATGCGTGTGTGAGACAGATTGAGACAGGTTGTTCTTTTGAATGAAGGATTCCAATGCATCATGCATTTGTTGTTCGCTTTTTTATCAATTGCATGACATGTCTAGTCTGACGTATTCTAGGTTTTTCTCTTTTGTTGGGACTAGGTGCTCCTTGGCTGGGACGTGCAAATGCAACCCTGTATCGGTGTGAAGACCTCTCGGACCACCCTGTTCGTTCATTTCATGAGCTGTTGTTAGTCAAGGCATTGAAATTGTGTTGGTTAACAATTAAGTTAACAGTTAAAGGAGTTGAGTGGGATACTCAACCGGCCAAGGGTGGTTGATGCTGAGAGCTGTTCTTCCATCAATTATATAGAGTCAGAGCTTCCATTCGAGTCCGGTAGAATAAGGTGTTACTGCTTAAGAAATCTGTATACCTTATGTTGGATGTCCCACTAACGCCAGGCCGGTGTACTAATCAGAAAAAGAACAGGTGCCTGCCTATCCTAAGCATAGTCATTGAGTCGTCGTAGAAGCATGAACTCAAGCGAGTTTACAAACCGAGCGTTTTGGCTAGAGCTTGTTCAGAGTTCATGTTTGTTCTCTATTGCAGTGGCGTTGGTGGCGTTTCTCAACAATCGGGGTGGTTCGCCCTATGTCGAACATAGCCAGAGCTTGCTTTGCCTGGAACATTATATGGATATGTGTAGTATATTAACAGTGATGGGTGTCTCACTTGCCAATCAGGCATCAGCACTGTCAGGGGCTGTTACACAGAAGATGAGGGAGAATCCCGAAGGCTTGAACATCATGTCAAGCATTTACAGTAAGAATCGACTCCATGATAATGATACACCCATTTGGAGTAGATACGTAGATACTTTACATGGAGCACTTGAGGCGGATAGCACTGGTTCTACAACTGTTTCTACTGCTTTTTACAAATCGACCAGGCACTGGTCTTGCCATATCTTGACCAAAGGGTACCGAGCTTCATTGGATCCTCCAGCATCCGCATTCAAGAACAGCCGAAGATCGCGATTGAGGTCCTTGAAGGAGAACGTGGCCTGCAATCTGGCCAGAGGTTTGCCCTTAGACTCTGGGATATGCAATCTGTCGGCCGGATCGCTGGAGCCGCCGGAGCGTCGGAAGGGCTTCGGTCGGGTTGGTGGATGCGACAGGGCACAGGCGACCGACTCCAGCAAGGTTGAAGGCCCAAAGCTTGCTTCTGAAAGAGAGATCACTCTCCACATGTAGAAGCCTTCTTACCAATATTATCAAGGGGTAATATGGGGTAATATCGTTTGTGGTGCTATCTGAAGAGGATCCTATTGGACAAAAATGGATACAATATATGCATATAGCATATTATTTTGTTAAAACCAATATTATCCCTACGCTTGTGGTTGTTGGCTCCCTCTTCTTTCAGCACATGCGCATGGTCTCTTTGGGCCAAAGCACCAACCGCGCTGCTGAGGAGAAATTGGAACAGGCGGTCCTCAATTGGAAACTCCAGGGCGGCTCCGGCGTTTCGGGCGTCTCGGGCGTCTCGGGTGTCTCCTCCATCAAGGCTGGGATCTGTGCAGATTGGGTTTCAAAGAAGCAGATCCACTGGATACATGGCGGAATGAATCATCACCAATCGGCTTCACAACCTCATTTGTGCAGATGTCGAATCTCTACATGCCCAACAAGATTCAGACATCTCAGTAACCCACCAGTCGTTTCAAAGTCTACGATTTGCTTGCCCTACTAGATCCAGTTCATCCCGGTTCCATAAGTTAGTACACGATATTACAAGTATACCTGTTTGCTCAGGAGTTGGTGACTTTGCTTTCAATGTAGCCCCCGCTTCGACTAGCGCAGACACCGCCGTCGTCGTTTTGCGTTTCCGCCGACACTGTGTCAACACGGCATCGCTGGAGACCGATGGGATGGAGGACGTGGAGGTCCCAATCGTAGCAGACACTGAGAAGCAGTATGAAGATGAAACAGTTTTATTTGATCCAAGGATCCAAGGGATTCTATTGCGAGATTGGAGTTCAATGTTCGAATGTTGGGGTATTTGAACGTTCATTCGCATCGTGTCAATTCGATAGTGCTGGTAGTGCTTTCATTGCAGTTCTTGCAATTCGGGCCGATACTTGAGAATACATTTTGGCCCCTTCAGCCAGGATCCAGATGAGTGGGTAAGCTTGGTCTAAAGTCTAAAACGCCTAGAGTAAACGTACGCGGCACCAGTTGAGGTGAATCCGATTGTGAGCGGTGAACAGCTAGCAACATGCTCCTTCGAGTTTGCTGCACGCCCATTGGTCTCCACACCCGCATCCACAAGCGCAAACGAAGGCCCACAGGTTCTCGCATTGGGTCGGCCAGCGCCACAAGAAGAAAAGGAAACAGAGCCACACCCTTGGCCTTCAGAGTCGAGGGTCCACAATGGACATCTGGTACAAAATATGAACTCCTGAGGAAGACTTTGACGTGATGATTGGAGCCGACTTGGTGGCTGACGAGCCCCTTGGGCGTTGAAAACTCGTTGGGGTGGACTCCTCGACACACCGTAGCACCCCCTAACTGGCAATGCTTTCGATTGGTAAGTGGCAATGCTTGCAGTGAAAGCGTTTCTGGATTTTTCTGTGTTTTGGTGGGACTTGGGAGTTGATGAATGTATGTTATCGTGATATGTTGTGATTCTTTTTGGGGTTTGGCAGTGGTTTGGGACTTAGTTTGCTGCAAGCATTCCGTGAAACTGAGACCCCGGATTCAGAAGCCAGCAAGCCTGCGGAAGTTCTGTCAGTGTGGGTAGGTTCCTTGCCGAACAAACCGTGGAACACACCCCAAAAAGATAAACAAAGACTCTCACAAACCCTGGGGGAGCAAGATGCCTCCAAATGGCGAGAGAACCAGTCGATGACACGATAGTAATCTGGCCGGAAACACGTCAAGTGGGGAGTACACCTCATATTCGATTGGTGAAGTCACTGTACCAGTTAAGAATATTTAAATGTAATTAATTGGCTTGATCTATCATTGATATATCCTTGATTTTTGCAAACCTGGCCACCACCCTAAAACCTGTCACTCTAGCTCAGCAGCACAACGAGGTTGTCATCACAACATTTGGCGCAAGTCATCCGCAACTTGTCTGATCATAGTGGCGGCGTGCAGTCTGCAATGCCATGCTGGCTGACAACCAAACTCACAACAATTCCAAAGTGCACGACCCACTATCCTTTGTTTGGTTTTGTGGGTTGGGTTTGGGTTTGGATTTGTTTGGTTGGCTTTAGTTTGGCTTGTTCTTTTTTGTGTGCGTGGTATATAATAACGTTGTTTGGTTTGTTGGGTTTGGTTTGGCTTGGCTTGGCTTAGCTTCGCTTGGTTTTTCTTTTTGTTGGTTGGTTGGTTGGTTGGTTGGTTGCTTGCTTGCTTGCTTGCTTGCTTGCTTGGTTGGTTGGTTGGTTGGTTGGTTGGTTGGTTGGTTGGTTGGTTGGTTGGTTGG